CAAGCTCAACAGTGGCTATCTAAAGCTTTTTTCCCTTGATTGTTCTCTACTGTCGTCTTGAAAGATTAGGTTTGGTTAAAAGGATCAAAAGAAACCTGTATTAGTATCTGATGAATTAAAAAATGGAAGAATTTTATAGTAATTATATATTCTCTGTTGTGTGCAACCATTAATTCGGGAATTTTTTCTTTTTTAATTGATGGATATTCTGGATAAAGGACATTACGCGGTGTATAATTGTTTCAATTAATAAATTTAAGTTGTGCAAAACTGATCAATTTATACGTGTGTAAACGTTCACTTTATTGCTCTAACGACTAAATAGTGTTCGTAAAAGGCATATAGTTAATTTGCGTTTCTATATTTGTCTCACATGGGATCAGTTTGATTGAACGTACGTAATCATCCAATATCTCATTTGTGTATTTTCTTCATACTTTTATCATATAGGAGAAATCAATTTTTTTTTTCTGTTTTTGTCCTGCAGCAAAAGTTGTAATGATGAACTACTATAAGAACAGTATTGTATATGCATTTATACTTTGTTTGTTTTCGATTTGGTCTCATAGGTAATACATACGAATTGTTTAGATGCGGAGAGTTCACAAGATGCCATTTTACATGCATTTTCAGGTCAGGTTCATTCTTTTTTTTAAAATGTTTACAAGGTATGATAATCAGTATTGTAATTTGAAATAGGAAGTTTTCAAAGTTTTGGGAAAAGATTAGGCTAAAAGGAGATTGTAATGTGAACAGGGAAGATTATAAGAGAGGAAAACGGAATGATTTCATTGACCAAATTGAAAAAATTTGATAATGTAAGAATTGAATCAAAAAGAATAATTTGATGACATTTGAAGTGTGTACTGTTTAGAACAGCGGATTCAATATTTGATAAATTCTGTACTATCTTCGCTGCAAACAATGGATCTAACTATTGGTAAGATAACATTTATAGAAACAAGCTGTACTTTATAGAAATTTTCTCTTGAGATGGTAAGTTGCATAATAAGAAAACTGCAATACTTTCACACTTGAAAAGTTTGATGCAGTTTCATTTCTTATTAATCGCAGGTTGTTTAGATGTAGCAATTCGAGAACAGTTGAGTGATTTCTTACGTTCGAGAAATTTATTGCTCGAAAATGCACATGATTTTTCTGGATTTGTCATTACGGGTAGAGTAAATTTGCGAAAGTTTAATACAGTATTTTTTTATAAAGAAATTTAGTTTGTATAATAAGCATCTGACTATCAAAATGTCAAAGATTTAGAACATATATCCTGTGTTATTATATATGGATTTGGTAATGAGTTGGTTGTATTTTGCTTTAAATTCGTTTACTCCAATCATAACCATTCAACATTTCCATTTCTTTTTTCTTGTTCATGATCGTATCATACTTTAAATTTTTGGGCTTTGTAAGTTTAATTTACCCGAACTTGAAAATACCGATGGTGTTGGATGGAAATTTCGTAAAATTATAATTACAAAAGCTACTCATTAGTTATAAGTATTCAATTTCAGTTTATTGTAGTGTAACGTTCGAGCATTTAGATTTGGATATTCTCATCCAGAATATGCGGACCAAAGGTTTGAGGCAAGATTTTATTCAACCAGTTAGTGCGGGTAAGATAGCTTTCGAAATAGCCTTTAATATTTTACTTTATGAGTCAAATATTGTTCTGTTAGTCTTAACTAATTTAAATTCTAGAACGCTTGACTGGGTTATAAGTTATACATAACGTTTTCTTTTGATGGAATATTCGAATTAATATTTTAACATCAATATTTTAACTATGTGGACCCTGGTTTTTCCATGTTTTGATCAATTTTGAAATGGGTAAAGTTCCGAAGATCCATTTCGAAAATAGTGATGGAAGACAGCACATACGGTTGTTTATCCAAGGGCACTTCCGTCTATGAATTTTATAAGAATAGACTATATAGCATTTTGGTTTTAGATATTCAGGAATTTGTTTCTTCTTTTGTATGTATTCGAATTAACTTTAAATATTTATTCAAATGGATTTAAAATTGCCTAGGGTTCAGGGTTACCTGTTCGTAGGATTCATCATAGCAATGCGAAAGTACTGTACAACATCAGATATATATATTATATATATAATATATAAAGTGAATTTTTCACGTACAATCCATAATAGCTATAATAACTGTTGAGTTTTATAGATTCTTAAAATACTCAACTTACTCGTATTCTGTGTTTAAACTTACATTCAAGTAAGGTGTATGGTGCATTTCATGGTATTTAGAAACTTCTGAGATTTACAGAATTTCGAAAAGATTTCAAGCATTGGAAAGTTCAGAAATGTTTCACTTTTTTTTTTTTTTTTTTTTGACAATTGAATGAAGTAAAATGAAATTCGTATTTGTTTAATGATTGTTTCTGATGATCATTCATATTGCAATTTATTACACATTGAATTATTTCTGTTTGGGATTGCATTTATTGAATTAAGATTAAAGGAGGAAAAAAAAGGAAAGTTGATGAAATTTCAAAGAGCGACAACATTTTTCATAAACTTGCTGCGTAATATGGCAAAATTCATATATATTGATTGAGCACACAAACGGCAAGATATGATGCTGTTACTGCTACTGCTACTACTAGTACTACTACTACTACTACTATTACTATTACTATTGCTACTATTACTACTACTATACTATTGCTACTTGTACTGCAGAAGCAAGTACTACTGCTACTATTTACTACTGTTTATTGCTAATTAATGTTTGATAGTAATGGTAGTACTGATAGTATTAATGATACATAAAGTGTTTCATGTGAATAATTAAAGAAATGAATAGCAGCATAACGAGCTATTGAGAGGGAATATTTCTACAATTAAATATCTTTCTATCGAAATGTTTCAAAAATTTTTAAATTAGTTAGAAGAGTCAGTTATAATATTTCATTCATCTCATGGAATCATTATTTCATCTCGAAATAAGATTAGATAGTGATAAAATTTACAGGACATGAATGAATGGATTTAGAACTGGTTCTATGTTATTGAGCTTGGTAGAAGATTAGCAGTGAGCTTTTTCTCCTTTTCAACTACTATAAAGATTTTGGTCGATGTATCTATGCATACCTTTTTTTAAAGTTGTACTACTCGGTGCTAGACTGTATGCATAGTTTTCGCTCGTCCATCATTATACTGGAATCGTCTTTTGATACGAAAAAAGTTTTAATCAGTTTAATTGAAATTTAATTTGGTTTAACTGTCGTAGTTGGTAATTTTGGCATATTGCATTTGTTCATATGGTGATAATATGAAACATAAATGAGACAGCCGAGATTTTTCAAAAATATATTTGAATGGATTATTAGGCTATATATGTTGAGGTATTTACACCAATTTGTACGTCTTTGAAATATGCATTTACTGCATTAGAAATATTCTTGAAAAATATTCTTTTTAGCATTATAGGTTTTTTTATGCTACATATCTTAAAAAGAAATAGGTTTTAAGTTAAAATTTGAGTGATTGATGATTTATTGTTAATTAAACAAAATGTTTATTAGAAACTATAATTCAACTATGGGAAGGATAAAAGGAAAAAAAGTATTGTAAAGGAATTAGAAAGAATGAAACGTATTGGGAAGATGCTTGTCAGCTGTTTTAGCATATAATGGTTAATTAAGATGATAAATTGGGGTAGTATTTTACGTTGCAATTCCTGTAGCACTAATTTTTTTTTTTTTTTTTTTTTATACTTTTCCCATTATTTCATTTTTTTTTCCTTTTTGCAGAGAGAAACAAGAAGATAGATAATGATGCGACGCTTCCTTTTTTTTTGTTCTGAAAATATTAAATTTGCAAATTTCTGGAAATCATTTTTAAATAAAAAAATGGAAAAGTTTGATTAGTTGCACAAGATCTTTGTGAGAACAAGGTATGTTTAACAATGAAATCGGTTGATTAATTTTCAGGTAGTGGTATTGCATATAAATAGTATAATGTATGTAGTATAGTAATTATATGTATATATAATTCCTTTTACGATGTATATATGCGTTAATGTATGAAATTTAATAATACAAAATATACGATGCAATTATGTTAATTCTTTATGTATATGCTGCTTTCATTGAAGTCTTTTAATTTTTTTTTTATTGAAATATTTTACGCAAGATATTTTGACCTATTTATGAAAATTTTCGGAAGTTCGTAGGCTTTGTTTTGTATAAAAATTATTTCCAGTTTGTAAACTAGGAAAAGTTAACCTACATTTGTAGGAGAATAGGAAAAAGGGTACTGTCTAAAGAAAGGTCAAACGACCCAATCCGGATAAAAAGAAGATGGAGCGATAGAAGCTTGGGAAATATATTGTGATGATAGTGTAACATGAGGGATCTCTTTGATTCATATCGATCCATTATCTTACTATATCACCTGTTTTAGTTATTGTTATCTGATTGCTCTAATCATATAGTTACCGTAACGATGAGATGATAAAGGGAGGGAAGGTAAAGAGAGAAAATGCAGAAGTTGTCATTCTTTTTCTATTAGACAAAAAGATAACGTCTGGTAAGGATAGTATTAGTATTTATGTGGATAATGATGGATGTCGTAAAAGCTATTTCATTCTATATAATTTCTCTTTACTTTATAATTTCTGTCTACCAAAAACGATGAAGCATTTAACCTATTTCCCAATTTCTTTTTCATTTTTTTATTTTCCAAAAACTTGGTTGTCCATCTTGTAGGGTAATAGTTATATTTATTTCAAAGCTTATTGTTTCAAAAACTAGTGAAGCGAGTGATAATGTTTGTTTTTGCTACTGTTGTTGTTTCGGCGAAAATTTTGTTATTCCGTCTACTCAATAAGTATGCCAAATTTATCGTTTTTTTTTTTTTTTTTTTTTTTTTTGAGCCCACCAAATGTTTCAGGCTGGAAGTTCTCACCGGTTGGATTCCTGTCTAAGATCTGAGAGCTCAAAAGAGCTCTTTGAAACTAGAGAGGAAGAGCATGAAAGAAGGAACGAAGGGCAAAAAAGAAGACAAAAGGAAGAAAAGTAATGAGATAACCTATTCATGCTGTTAATGCGTTGATAGCCAGATTTATCAACTATTTGAGAATCTGTGAGAGAGTAGCATGCAGAAGGAACGAAGGACTAAGAACCGATCTTAATTGTCTTGTGGTCCCTTGCTAATATTTATGCACTATTGCAGCCACTAGAATTATTTATTAGTCGTTATCAGTGATAATTATTCAGCTGAGCAAACAAGCAACTTTTAAGGAGCCCATTTTCATTTCTGTATTAAAAATCCTGCTGAGATAACATACTTATTTGTGTATGTGTGTATGTATATACGTTAGGTAGCCTGTAAGGAAACATACTTTTATTATTATAAGAAATTTAATTTTTTATGTCCCACTTTCTAGTCTGCAACTGCAGTAATAATTGCAGGTTAGTGCCTTCTTTTTATACTTTGCGTAATGACCGAAAGATTAAATGGTATGAATTGTTCTTTTATATGAAACATAGACTGTAATCTAGGAGTGTAAAAGTGGATAATAGATGATTTCATTTTTCATTCACTGATTTGTGAGGGAGTTTTTGTTGTGAAATTCCCAAAGTTGTCAGTATATTATGTATATATATCTAATAGTATATTTCTAAATATACTTGCGAAACTATTTTAGCATGATTTACAAGCAAAAGAAAAACTGATACTGGTAGTGATATTTACATTCTTTTGTAAGGATGATTCTTATGATCTATGTTATAAAATGCTATGAATGGAAATTTTATAGCAAATATGCTTATGTCCATATCATATATCGGATTAACCCAGAAGCAAACAATTAATTTCATTTCTTTCTTGTAAATGAAAGCACTTTATTTGTTCGTTATCAAAGATTTCATTTTTATAAAACCACTTAGTGGTGACTTTACTTTAGTTATTGTAAGTTATACTGGTTTACATGTTTCAGATGCACGAGTTGTGTCGATAATGGAACGTTTGCGTTCTACAAGTGAACTTAGTCAACTGGATGCAGCTACCGAATTAGCTGATATGCTACTTCTGGGCAACGAAGAGAGCCTTCCAAATTTACCAATCAAAGATATCGTTCATGCTCTTATCATGTTGCTTCAGAAGGAGCATAATTTCGTATTGGTAAGTTGAAGTTTCGGTTAATCAAAATGTTTTAAGTGGACGATATAAACGAATGATATCGGAAGCCCTGTCTCATATGATGTTTGATCCGTCTTTGTGTCGATCATACCAGCATCGGTTGGAGTTTTTTCATTTCCCCTGAATGATCAAAACCATATGCATTGCTGGAATTTTTCCAGTATCATTGAGATTAGTCCAGAATTTTTATTTTTAATCCTAATTTTGAATTTTTTATTTTAGATGCTTACGGCTGCAAGATGCATATCAAATATGCTGGAAGCTTTACCACGTGCACTACCAGTTGTTATCGATACAGTGCCACATCTTCTTGAAAAGGTTTCCTTTACCTTGTTTCTTCATTACAAACAGGTGGTAGTTATACAGCTCTGAAATTTACTTTAGTAGAAGAAAAAACGCCAAAATTTAGTCTGAGTTGTAAAGTAATAAAAAGCCTAATGATATGACCTCTTATTATCGATCATTATTTCATTGTATTTGATGAGTTGAAGTAAAATGTTGTATAAGTTGAGTAGAATTTGAATGTATGATATATTAAGCTTGTTAACATCTATTGATAGCATACTGAAGAAAGATGTTTAGCTTGGAAAAGTTTTCTTTTGAAGCGGAAGTTTTAACAAGTGCTTTTTTTTATGAGCAGTTATTTTTTCTTGTCGAGTCACATAGCTATAAGAGTAAACCTATGAACTTTTTCGCTGTGTTAGGCGAAAAACTAAAAAAACTTCAAAACTTCAAAATTTTCGGCGAAAAATTGGCGAAAAACTTCAAAATTTTGAGTTATTAATAAAGCAGTAGGGAATATCAAAACTCTCAGTCACTCTTTTAAAAAAAAAAAGAAAAAAAAAGAAAAAAAATTGAAAACCAAAAAGTATTAATCCTAGATAAGCTTTTTAATGTGAAATTTCTTTCAGTTGAAACGTATCGAATGTATTGATGTAGCAGAGCAGTCGTTAATGGCGTTGGAAGTGATGTCAAAAAGGAATGGCAAAAATATAATGTCAGCTGTAAGTTTTTCAAGTGCTTTATACTTCTATGTTATGGTCATTAATATCATTTTTTGTTAATGTAGGATAGTAGAATATGTATTTGTGGACTTCTTATTTTATATCATAGTATTTTCTGTACACATTGAGAAGATCAGGAAGAAAAAATATTAATCTCTCTTAAATTGAAAGAGATTTCTTTTGTTTCCACAATGATGGATGGGATAAACGACATGCAGGCATCACAAAAAGTGAACTGATCATTTAAAACCAACAAGAAAATTGATATGCAAATGATTTAGTTAGATATAGTGAATGGTTTAACCCATTCATACATAAAAATCATATTTGAATAATTTTTTAACTTCGAATTTTTTTTTTTTTTTTTTAATCAGGGTGGCATCGCAGCAACGATATCGCATGTTGATTTTTTCTCAGTACCATCACAACGTTTGGCATTTCAAATAGCTGCTAATTGTGCAACATATGTGTCAGCTAATGATTTTCCTCAAGTGCGTGAATCACTAGCTGATCTTACTCAGCGACTCCTAATTGAGGTGAGAATGGAAAATTTTTTAGGAATTGATGGCAGAAAAATTCAGAAAAAATAAAAAATTTTTGTAGTAATTCAGGTTTATAGCGAAATGGGAAATTCAGAAGATAAAAAATTCAAGAAACGATTCCATATTTGAAATTCGAAATATATATGGATCATATAAGTTATCCTGTTTTTTCAGGATAAACGATGTTTGGAATCAGTTTGTGTACTATTTTGCCGTCTTGTGGACAATATGCGTAATCATGCTGATAAATTGCGAGAAATAGCAGGACAAAATCATGCATTATTGAAAAATGTGCAGCAATTACTTTTAGTACAACCTTGTGCGGTGGGACCGAATACATTTCAATCGTTAATACGGATGTTACGTTCAATGGCTTCCAGATGTAGCGATCTGGCGGTTGCATTAGTTTATATGGGTTAGCCCACTCACTTATTTTCGTTTTGAAGAAGAGATGAATGGTATGCAAATGCATTTGCATTTGTATGTTATGCAAGTGGCTACTATGATTGACCGATGTACTATTTATGCAATCTGTTAACCGAATAAATGAATTGATAAACAATTTTAATTAATTGTTACACAGCAACCACAATGAATATTAAGGTTTTTTTTTTATAGATTTTGCAAGAACTATCAAATTTTTGATTGTTGGATCAAAGGAAGGTGATCATACGACATTCGAAATTGTTGATCGCCCGCCGCAACATTTGCAAGAATTGGTTTACCTAGCTGGGTTAGTTTTTTACTTTCTTAAAGCTTTTCTTAATGCTAAATATTTCATCTGCAGTGAAGATTTTAGTGAAGATTAATATCCTATAATCAGAGCCTACACAAATAAGACTATAGCAGGGGATTCAATTGTAACGGAATCATTTCAAATATTCGACTGCACATTCTATTTTTAGGCTAAAGTTATCCTTCCAATCTAACGATACATAAGGTATTGTGTACAGCTATCAGAAAAAAGTGTTCTTATTTAGGTAGTTTGAAGAATATAGCATGTGAGGTGTAATTAAATGTTTTTTCTTTTTCTTTTGCAGAGAACTAATGCCACGTTTACCGGTTGATGGAATTTTTGAAATAGATAGTGTAATGCTACGTTCCCATGCTACCTATTATGATTTTCAACCGACACTATGGTACTGGAGAGATGATTCTAATCAGTGGTTGCCATTTACTCATTTTGATTCACGGCTTATTGAGGTATTGTAAATACTGTTCTTCCAGTACTGTTCTTCCAACGAAATTTTATAAAAAATGTCACGAGTGCAGGTTTTTCTTGTTTTTTTTTTTTTTTTGCTAACAGAATGGAAGACCATTGTTATGCAGTCATATTTAAATTTAATGAAACCGAAGGTAAACTTATTTAGGCAAAAAAAAAAAATACAAGAGATTTTTATTTTTAGTTACATTCTTCTTGTGCGTTATTCTAATTTAGTCAAAAACAAAATTTGGATAGAAATTTTTTCTAGTATTGTCGAAATTCTATATTTTATAGATGGCATATGCAACAAGTGAAACTGAAATAAATCTTCAAATTAACGGAAATGTGTATAAAATTGATTTGCAACGAATGGTACAACGAAATCATTCAACGGGTAAAGAGAGAGCTATACAACGACGAACATCCGTTTTCAGTAAGTTTCATTGTTTTGATGTTTGCGAACTGACAATTTCTGAAATTGGTCGTAGGAGATTTTGTTGAGCACTCTTTGACGATACTCTGACTTTAATTGAAATGTAATAATCTGGTAAGTAATTTGATGAAAGCGATAATTATTTTGTTTCTTTGTGATTTCGACATATGAAGTCTTCAGGAGCTACATTAACATTAGTTAACTTTATTACTTAACTGTGTGGCATAATGGCTGTATAAATAATTGAAATTATATTCGAACGTAGCTAGTAGGTGTATATCTAGTACTAAAATATGTTCCAGTGAGTTTAGAAGTTGTTTTACAGAGAGTAAAACAGCATCTCCAGAAGATGATCGTCGTTTAGAATTGATGAAAACAGAACCAGTTCTTCTAGAACAAGTTGTGCAGTTACTTCTTCCAATATTAGTGGAAATTGACGGTAGTTCAGTAAGTTGTTTTCTTTCCCTTTTAATTTTTTTTTTATTATATAGATGTTTCATTCAGTTAAAGCACATTTTTTTTTTTGCATTCCGGATTCTCATTTCTTTTTAGAGTGGTCCAGCACTTCGTTATGAAAGCTTGCGTGTAACTTTAAGAATGATTTATCCATCAGATGTACGAGTACTGAAAGATATTCTGGCAAATCTTCCCCTTGCTGGACATATAGCCAGTGCTTTGACTAGTGCACGAAGCAAAGATCTTTGTGTTGTGGCATCAGCGTTACAATTAGCTCATCTGCTTCTGGACAAATTTCCGGATATGTATGAGCTATTATTCAAACGTGAAGGTTGATTTAAAGTTCTTTTTCTTAGAGCAAGTAGATTGCGTGTTGTGTGGCTTTTTCTTTTTGTTGTTTTTTTGTTTAAAGTAGCTTTTGCATTCATTATTTTTCTAGTAGTAACAATAACCTTTATATTATTGTGTCTCATAGTCTCACAAAAAAAGAGTTAGAGAAAATGAAAAAAAGAAGCACTCAGTCCTTTTTTTTTTACCAAATACTATAATGACATAGCAATTTGCATTTTTCATGACTACTTGAAGTTTGAAGGTGTTGCACATGAAATTGAAAAATTGTCAAAAATGAAACTTGAATCACCAGTGTTAGCTCCATCAATACAGATAGCTACATTAGCTTGTGAACATGATAATGCAACTATCACTGCAACCGGAATTCGAACACGAAGTGGCCCAAAAACACGTTCGTCATCCGAAATAACGGAAGGAACATCATTAACTAGTAAATTTTTTTAGATGATTTTTGCAGTTTGATATGCAAAAAAAAGAAATTACAAATGACAGCCATTTACTTTCATTTGACTTAATTGTAATTTACATGATTGATCAAAATTGGTAGGAACATTGGAGAAGTGTGTGATATGTGTGCATTACTTAGCAAATATTAATACTGATCACCGGACTACATGTAGAGCAGAGCATCAGGGTTGTTTTTATTATTCAGTCAGGTATGATTATCGGTGATAAAATAATCAGCTTGTGCGATAAATTCATGATCTGGATGGTTTTAGCTAAACAAAGTACAAATACAAGAACTCGTAATATCGCACAGTTGACAGTATCTACTGCAGAAGCAGGTCCAAGTTCAAGTAATGCTACTCGTGTTATCGTTTCACCCAATGGTGGCCGTCATCGTCGTAAAACTTCACCAGAGAGGTTTGGATCTTCTCTCTCTCTCTCTCTCCTTCTTTGGTTTTTGTAGTTACAAATCTGATGATACGGAATATTTGAACACTTATCATCATAATCGATTGCTTTTCACTGATTTCTCACATTATATTCATTTTTCAATGAATTTATAACAGCTTATCAAGAATCACTGAATCATTAGAATCATTGCTGGTCCTAATTTTATCAGCAATCTTAGCACATTCTATTGTCATCATAAATTACATATATAAAACTTCCGAGATATCTGATTTAATCACACGTGTGTTTTTAAACTTAATTTTAACTTTTCTTCCAAAAAAAAAAAATCAGTAGTTTAATTTTTGTTCTCTTACTCTGCAGAATATTTGGGAAATCTTATGCTTATCAAAACTGTGCGACGTGATAGCACACCACCAATTGTGGAGTAACCGTGGTGATTACTGATGGACATTTAATAATAAAATTTATATGCATGGAGATATGATAACATTGTCTAGTTATAGTCCTATATCCCGCAAAGAATCACGTCGTAAAACAACACCTTCGAATTTCCTTCATACGTTACGTTTACCATCATTTCGCATGCCGGGCACATCGTCGTCAAGCGGACATTCGCCACATGATAGCACACCACCAAGTAACATGCTTTCATCATTTTTCACCTCTATCAGTCAATCTCAGACAACATCGGCACATCATTATCCTTCAGGTACTTATTATTATTATCATTATTTATCATTATTATTGTTATTATTATTACTAATTATTATTATTATTATTATTATTATTATTATTATTATTATTATTATTATTATCCCGCTCTACGCATTGCTTTGATGCTGTGGCTTGGTATGAGTTACGTGTGTTCATTTATTGATTTGATCAGCTTTTTTACAGTTTCAAATTATCTTGTCGTTTTGGTCGTATATTTTCATGAATAGATTTTGTAGGATGCTATCACTTATATTTGCTAATTTAACTGATAGTTTAGGATCTGGTGGCTCAACAAATGCTCCATCTTCTCATACGTCTGCATCTCGTGCACGTATTTCAACGTTTACACCATCAGCTGCTGTGGGAAGTTCATGCTCGGCTATTTTGATGCAGTCTTCATCTACTGGTCATAGTTCATTTACGGTACCATTATCGTCTACTAGCGGATCTGCCTTAAGTCATCAGCAACGTGAAATAATTCGTCAATGGATACGTAAAGAAGGTTCGTCGTTTTTGCGTGTGATAACCATGCATTTTCGGTTTGTTTGCTTTTTTCCATGCATATTAAACACAATTCCATGCAATATGTTAAAATGAACATTTTTTCTTGCTGAAAACTTTATTCATTTATTTGTGCACCTGGACTGTTAAAGAAGGCTATGCTTATCTGAGCTTTCTACATTTCTAACCTTGGTTCGCTTTTTTCAGTTACTTAAAGAGTGGTGTTCCTTCGTTTTTATATTTTTTATATGAGTAATTTTCGTGACATCAAGATAGCTGAAAGTTTTATTGTTAGCAAAACGTTGAAATATTCGGATAGTGTTCCCATTTTAGCTGAATACCTGATACACATGTATTTTTCGACACCATCGACTGGTATCGATGGTTCAGCTCCGTCACTTTTAAGTCGTTTAACATCTATTGCTGCATCTCTTATTAGTGAAAAAGATGTTGGTAGCACTGCACTTGTTGGATTTAAGGTAAGCTTATTTTTTATAAGATTCACTTTTCTACTTTAACAGGAAGTAGGAGAATGATGATACTGAAGAGATTTGAAAGAAAAAATTGAGAAAATCGATTTAGGAAATGAACCACTTAATCTTAATTTATAAATTTTATTTGCAGGCAATTTTACTGGAAAACGATGTAAGCGCCTTTGAACTGAATCATAGCGGTGTACTCAGTTCCCTCTGTAAATATATTACAAATTCCTCCTCATCATATCAGCCTCCTCGTAAACTTCGTCTCAAACGTTTCGCTGCGGTTTTCATGTCCCTTACAGTATGTTTCACTATCTGTTAATGCTATAAACTTACTTCGATAGAGAGCGTCTTACATTTTGTGAAATGTTAAAATTTATTTCACGTTTTAAGTATGCTGTAACTTTTTTATTGTCGCTTTTACTGAGTGAACCATTTAGTAAAAATGAGGGGTTTAAGAATATAAAATATAGACATTATGTTGATTAGTTTAACTATTTAAGATAAGGATACATGTGTATTTGGAGTAAGTTTAAATTTGATATGTTAGATCGTGGAGTGTTCTAGTGAATTTATATTTGTTAATGCTTTAAAGAAATGAAAGATGTTTTTTGTCATACGTTTATATTTCGTTTTTAGTCAGATAATTTGAGACCAGCAGACGAATCAGATTGTTGGGCAGCTTTCGAAATACTTGTATCAAAGTTGCTCGCATCAGTAGCACAACATGAACAATTCCAGGTTTTTCCTTTATATATGTATACTTTGAACTGTGATTAGAATATTAGCTTTTATGTGGAGTGGTAGTTCGGTAGTTAAAATTTCATTGGTAGAATTATTGTATTTAAAGTGTGGAAGAGAAATTGCTGTTCTAGTATAACATTTCGAACATTCTGCTGACTGAGTGTTCGAAATTATTAATTAATTTAATCGGATTTCTGGTCTTATGATATCATTTGTCTAGCAAGATTGATAAATTTTTTTTTTTTTTTTTAAGGTTAAAGTTACTGATATGGGTGGAATCGTAACGGGTAGTTCTGGGGGAGCTTTACGCGGTTCGCAAGCGTTACGCTTTTTCCAAACTCATCAGATTCGCGTATGTTTTTACTATGAAACTAGTGTTTTTTATGATTTCTTTTTTTCAATTTTTGAAAACCTTTCGAGTTTCACAGGTATTTGGGAATTTTTTTTATTTTGTTTCAGTGTAACTTGAAGCGACATCCAACTTGCAGGGATTTGAAAGAATGGAGGCATGGACATGGCTCCATAAAGGTGTATTTTTATTAGACTGAAAATAGCAAATAATAAGATGAGGGCGGTTGATTAGAAGGTATTCACATCACGTCCAGTCAACCTCTATAATTAATCATTGGGAAGTTTATAGTCCGTACAGTTGTTGGTAATTGTATTTATGAGAATGAATATAACATTTTCCTGCAGGTAGATCCGTTCACTTCAATTTCGGCTATTGAAAGATATTTGTTGGACCGTGGGATCGGTTATGTACGTGCGGAAGATTCATCTGGTGATGAAGATGGTAGTGATGATGACGAAATGCCTTCTGTAAGTTAATCATCAATTGATAAATGATTTTAGGTCGTTTTAAAATTTTAATTTGAAGTCGAATTATAGGAAGGATCGATATCAGGTGGAAATTCTCAGCCCGGCCGTATAGAAATCTTAATAAATGATGAAAAAATTCCAGGGCATATGTCCATTTTACAGGTACGCTTTATACATTTTTTTGAAAACATTGTTACAGGACTTCAGTAAAATTCTCGTCTTCTTTTGCTTCTAAACTTTTTTTTTTTACCTGTCAACTGTGTGTGGGACTATCAGTGTCTAGATGGAATTATCAGCAGTGAAGTTTCCCTGGGAAATTGGGGAAATTCGTTTACTTATCTTTTTACAGGCACTAAGACAATTTGGGCAAGTAAATTTGGGTGATAATGTGGATCATTTCGCGGTTGCAACAGGTATATGGGTGAATACGCACACCCTCTATTACCGTGCTGCTGCACCGGCTTCGACTGAAGCATCCGAAGAACCAGTAGTAGTAGTATCCACAACCAAGTCACTTTCTGGGAAATCCGAAAAACGGGAAAAACGGCCAAAGATTGACGAAAAGCTATGGATTGGTTAGGGTTTTTATTTTTATTGGATTTAATTTCAAACCAAATTTTGGTTGTTTAACTGGAGGACAGATCTTCGGCCTCTGACAATGTTTGTGTGCAAATAGGTTTTTTTTTTTTTTTAGTAAAAAATTTACGGTTAGATTTTGATCCCACAGATGGTTATGGCATGTTAAGTAGCTTTTTTTAGTATGGCTCAAATTTTCTTGCTGCATCGGACTCTTTCGTATCTTTTATACAGTTTTTTTTTTTTTTTTCATTCTAATGATTAAATTTCATCGTTTTTGTTCTAGTAGTAAGCAAATTCTGTGGTTTATAATTTGAAAGTTTAAACTGTAGATTTGTCAATTATTATGATACATTATTATAAATCATTCAGATGGAGAAGTTCCGGTTAGTCAGTGCCCTTTGGATTCATATTTGACGAATAAATTACCGGTCGATGTAGATGATCCTTGTGTGCCTTCTCTTGTTCTTCTTCGATGCCTTTATGCACTTAATCGTTTTTGGTGGAAATTATTTGAGGACGAAGATGTACCGCCTACCAGTCATGCACCACTCCTACCGAACACGTAGTGTTTTGTTATTTGTAGATAAATATTAAACATGCCAATTAGAGAGGAAAGAGAGGGAGGAAATGTCAATCTATGCAAGAGTTGAGAGAAGTGCGGGAATGAAAATTGCTGATATAGCATTGAGAGCTAATCTTTTATCACTTGTCTTCAAGATAGAATATTTTGCTCAGATCTCTAATGATGACAACTGAATGTTACCCTCAAATTAAATTTTTTTAGAGCCTTTCATTCATCGAAGCTTAATGCAAAAATTGGACGTCAGTTATCTGATTTCCTGTCCGTTGCAACTCAGCAAATACCCCAATGGACTGGTGATCTAATCAAAGCAGTGTAAATTATCAACCTTTTTTCTTCTTGTTTAATACTGTGATTGGCTTTTGCCAACCGCACATATTCTTGGACAAACTTCGCTATTTCGTTAATATTATGTGGGAACTAGGTAAAAGCGCGTAAAGCTTACTAGTAGTTAAATTAGTAGAGCAGAGTTGTTGGATACAATTAATATTGCGGGAATTTTTTGAGAATATCAGGATGAACAGAGCAAATAATTAAATTTCTTTGCTTTTAGTAAAGTCTACGACTCTGAAAACCACCCCAACTTTTAAGCAGAAAACTCAGATCACTTTATTGTGTTTTGTGAAATTTATTTTTTGTAGGCCTTTTATCTTCACATTTTCATCTCGACGCAACTACCTGTACTGTACAGCTTTTGGACGAGATAGAGCTTTGATGCATCTTGTCAACCAAACAGATGGTGGACAGGGTGATGGCGAAAGTGGACGTTTGACGCCACGTCTGGAAAGACGCAAGGTGTCGGTACGTCGGGATGATTTGCTTCGCCAGGCAGAACAAACCCTTCATCATCTTGGATGCAGTCGGTTAGTGACATATAAATGACTTTATGTTGTTTATGTGTGCTATATATTTTATCTTTTGGCATTAGTTCAGCGAAGAAAGTATTTCCTTCTTTCAGAGCAATGCTTGAAGTTGGTTTTGAAGGAGAAGCGGGTACTGGTTTCGGTCCAACGTTGGAGTTCTATTCCACTGTATCACGCGAGATACAAAAATCATCACTACGTCTTTGGCATGGTCATACCTTGGCTGCTACATTTGACGGCAATGGTAATTCTGCGATGATTATAAAATACACTTTTTCAATCAATGTTTGAACGGAAATTTGGTAATGAATTACTTCTTAGACATGTAATTTCTAAAGTTTAAGTTTCCTTCCAATCCATACTTGTTTTTGAGATGGACCGGTAACAAATTATACCACAGCATCTGCTGGTCTTTATCCCGCGGTCTTTTCCTCACAAAGTGCTAAACAGCGTGATGCTCGTTCGAAAAAATTCGAATTTATTGGACGTTTGTTAGCGCAAGCTTTGATTGATTCACGTATGGTGAGCATTTTTATTGTGAAATGTTTTGCTAAATAAGGAGTAGTTTTCTCATGCTGGTTAACGCTGACCTAAGCAAACTGGATTAAATTTGATAGAAGATAGCTGGTGGACGGGTGGACAGTTTAATCTTTCAAGTCATGGGGTTTTGGAATAATAGATAAATGAGCTATATCACTATCAAGCTAAGTGTTTTGACTTATTAGATGAATGTTTGTCTTTCCTATATGTAGGATTCATTTCAGCTGGATATACCGCTTAATCCCGTATTTTTTAAATGGCTTTGCGGCGAAGATAAGATGTTTGGTCTAAGTGATTTGGAGGTTTTCGACAAAAATTTGTACCAGTCTTTACGTGCACTGATTCTTACGGATCCAAATGATTTCGATTCACTCGAGCAGGTAAAATTGCAAAGAATATGTTTGATGTTATGTAATAAAATATTGCTAATAAACGTTACAGCTGTGGTATTTTTTTAAATCTTTTCAAGTTATTTGATTTTGTGGTGGCATCATTTATTTCAGTTTATTGTTTTTCAATAACAGAAATGATACGCTTGATAAATTGCAACTAATATTTTTCGTCTATTAATTTTCCTTCTATAGGACGATTTGGAGTACTTTGGTAGAAATTTAGGAAAGTAGTAAGAATTAAATGTGTAGCTTTTTTGTGTACTTTTTATTTTGTTAGTTTTTAATGTTTTACTCGTAGTACTTCACTCTGCCGGGTGACGAAAATTTCGAGCTTGTTAAAGGAGGGAAAAATCGCTTGGTGACCAGTTCGAATGTAGTTCAGTTTGTCAAGGTTTTTTTTTCTTTTTAATTTCAACTTCAGTTTAAATTATCATAATTTTTGTTTCTATTTTGGCAAATCAATATCATAGTTTCATCTATTTATTCCAAATTTTATCGAACTTTTTATGGTACACCATATGTAAATCCTATTTTGGAGAGATATAAGATGATCATTCATTCCCTATGCTTGAAATCAAAGTAAATGGAATGGTTTACTTGTACAATTTTGTTCTTTCATTATGTTAAAGCAATGGATCCTTCCTATGATATTTATATGTTTATGTGCATTTAGATTATGAAAAAATTGAAAAATACTATAAGAAATGTTTGTTTAAGTTGGTAACTCATTGGCTATTGGTCGAAGGTGTGCGACGCGAGATGGAAGCTGTACGTAGAGGCTTTGAAACAATTATCAAAATAGATGATTTAACGTCTTTCACCCCTGATGAGGTTGCTTTGTAGCTTAACATAAATCAGATTTTAGTATTAGTGTGAAGAGAATTTTTTACATTACTTTCGCATCTCATCAGATTATTGAATAGTTACCGAACCTTAGGATGTTATATCTTGACATCTTGCTACATAAGTAAGATTATTTGTTTTAACCAGTCAACTGAAATTCTAGTCAACAGGTAATGTAAGATTTTTAAAAAGAATGATATAGGTTTGCTTAAAAATAGTAAACGATAAAAGTTCACATAAAATGTTCTGTGGTCGTTATGAATGAATTGATTCATTTAACTTTTTTCTGATGAATATCAACTTATTGCTGTACAGATGGAAGAGCTATTTTGTGGTTGTTCGGAAGAAACTTGGAAACGTACATGGAATGAATCAGCATTACAGTCAGCTATAAAACCAGATCACGGGTATACGCATGATAGCGAGCAGATACGATGGCTTATACAGATGCTTGCTTCTTATGACAATCAGCAGGTTTTATTGTTTCATTTATATCTAAAGTAATGTCATTACAGTGAGTTAACAGTAATTTATAAAAGAAGTTAATTTTCCTTACAGTTATATTTTTTGTTCAGTGCATATCCTGAATAGTAAGTATAGGAGTATGATTTGCCATATATTAGCATTTGAAAAATGTCGGTGTCATCACTGCTAGTATTGCCTTTCTAAAGAAAGAAAAAAATGGGAAAAGTTTGTTGATTTATCAGGCAATTAGTTTTGGTCATTCTGACTCATAAATTGCGTATTTTCATACTAGAAGATTGGATGTTCCTTTCTTAAAACTAGTTTTGGAAGGTTTTTATTTTTGCAGCAAAGAAAATTTCTGCAGTTTGTGACGGGCTCACCAAAACTTCCAGTTGGCGGTTTTCGTTCATTGAATCCCCCGTTAACAGTTGTGAAAAAATCTGGTTCTTACGGAAATGGCGACGATGAACTTCCATCGGCTATGACCTGTTACAATTATTTAAAAATTCCAGCATATAGTACCTATGAAATATTCCACCAACGATTTGATGTTGCATTGCGTTTCATTTACAGTTTCCATTTAACGTAGTTAAGTCTCTGAAAATTTCAGCAAAAATTCCTTATCACTTTGAACATCTCATTCTTATTTTTCCATAATGATATGCATTATCGTTCCTAGCATAAGTTAGTGCTTTTTTAGTTTACTGAAATAAATAATGTCTTCTTTTTCAATCTACAGTTCCTCTGGAATAATTGGTTACTGTTATGTTTACCCTAATTTTTCTTATTATCTGTATATTTCTGAGTATTTTTGATAGCGAACAGTCTCTTCTTATACTTTAACTTTGATCAGTTAAGTTAAATTTGAATAAAAGTAACAATGCGTATAATAGTAGCAATAAGAGTTGTGTAAAAATGATGAAAACAACGTTATATTTTATTTTTATAGCATGTATTTGTCGTATCATTATCCTATTTCATTATATTCTATTTTTATGCCATTTCACTAGTTGTACGTGTATCGTGTTTTTTTTCTTCATGTTTTATCGAATTTTTGAGCTTTCTGTTAGCGGTGCTTCCAATTGTGAATTATTGATTGGTTAATCAAACGATATGGAATAATTGGACGTAATCTCACTATATTTTGTCATCTTTTATCTCCATTCCTTATTTGCTCTTGGGATTTTGAGATTCTACTAGTGTCTAGGCAGATTTGATTCTGAGTTTTATCGAAATTTTACAGTTGAGTTTGAATTATTGTTGAATTCTGATTACTGAATTTAAAGTTTAATATTGCCATCATGTTACGGGTTAGTTTTTTTTTCTTTTTTTTTCCTTTTTTTTTTAGGTTAAAGGAGAGATTTTAGGCTTCTTTTATTCATGTTACTGAAGTAACATATTTCTCTGCACAATAAGCGTAAACTATGAATTTTAGGAACTGTTGCGAGTGGATCTTAAATTTCTTCTAGAAAATTAGGTAAACTACAAAGCCTTGCATATTTTTCTTTGAATGTATGTTGCAGGCCCAAATTTTCATTTTATCACTTTAAAGTTTCTATGATATTTTATTATCTTCAAATAAGTATGGTGACTTTTCTCTCCCTATATAAATAAATATTGACATTATTTTTAGATCGTTCAAAAATCATGCACTAAGATTTGAATCTTAATAATAATACCTAACATTAATTTGAGTTAGTATAGGAGTTTTTCTTTTTTTTTTTTTCTCAATATTCTATGCTGTATTTCTTTTTACATTTTTTACTTTCATTATATCGTTATTAACTTTGTACGATATAAAAGATTTTTGAGATTTCATTTCTTTTTTATAATTGAAAATAGAAGAAAGAACATTACATTTGATTTTAATCGATTATATGCAAAATTTATTTATCGTATGTGATAATCATTATTGTTGTTGTATGAGTGAAATTTGATAGCAAAAATTATTATTATACTATTTGTATATGTCATCAATCTTTTTTTTTTCAGCTTTAATCGGTTAAATGATTTTATTCAAGAAATATTTCTTTATGATTGTTTGCTGAACGGAATTAAACGTTTTTTTTTTTTCTCTCTCCTCCCTCTCTGTGCGTGTTTGATCTTGCTTTTTCTTTTAACACATCTATATTATTGATATGAGCAACATAGGTTCCATCCCATTCAACAAACTAAAATAAAATGTTATGGATGGATAATACTATTTAACTAAACGATTGGTTCGTTGTTCATTTAGTGATTTGTAGGCTATAGTTAGATGATAAAGAGAAGGTATCAGTACGTATTCCACGTTAGCACGGGATTCACATGTGTAACACGTTATTTGATAAATCAGACGATTGTGTTTATACTACTTTTTTATCTAACATTTACAATAATGAAAAAAAATTTCAAACCATATCTTTATCAAATCAGTTGAAGTTCGAAATTAGACAATCAATAGTCAATAAATATTAAAAACAGAAGTTGCCGAATTGTTGGAAACAGTGTAACGTATGGGGGATGTGGTTGGTTAATTGGTCGAGGAAATTTAAAGCTGTTAGGCTTCAGTCCAGTTTTACACATAAAATTAAAGGCTGCTAAGTTGATAGGTACTAAAAAATACTCATTAATCAATATCAGAAACAAGAATTGCAAAAAAGTATGATGATATTGCGTAGTATATATATATGTTAGATCATAAAGAATTTTATTTTTAGAGAAGTAAAAAAATGTTTCTTAAAACAAATTTATTAAGTAAGAAAAAGCATTTTGTAATTATACCAGAAGTGGACAGTTTGTTGGAAAAAATTTGTAATAATTTTTTGGGAGGAGCAAACATTGCTATGAAGTATTAAGCTGTAATGATAAGTAAATTGTGTGAGTAAGATAATTTGATAAATTGTATGATAACTTGAAAAAGAAAAATAAGAGAGAAGGAAAGAGAGAGAGAGAGGTAGGGGGGAATAGCGTTTGTTTTGTGGGTGAGAAAATGTAGCATGTAATTTATAATTTATTGGACGTTGCTGTCATTTTATTGTAGTTATTATTAATCATTATTTATTATTTCTGTTGTTGTTATTATTATTGTTATTTTTATTAATATTATTATTATTATTTTTATGTATTGTTATTTATTATTATCATTACTATTTATTATTATTATTACTGTTGTTACCATTGTTTTATCATAATTATCATCATTTTCCGATCTTTTTCAGTTGTAAATCCATGCATAAGTATATGCATGTAATGAGCTGACGTTATTGGCTCTCAAATAATTTTCGCCTCAAACTCTTTCCATTTATTGTATGATTGTACGATAATTGACTTTTAGCGCCTATGAGCCATTAGCTTATTTCCATTAACGCCTAAATGATTCTATTTTTGCTTATTATACACTATGATGCATTTTGTTATAATTACAACAAATGAGGAATAGAGAATAAAAAAGTGAAATAATATAAAATTCAAATAAAATTAGGAAATTCAAAATTATTTACAATGGAATTTCACTATAATTGATTGTACGATAATTGAATAAAAAAAATGGATGAAAGAAGAAATATTAACTTCAATAGGTATAATCTATCTGATCGACTTTAATTTGATGATAAATGTTAGAAAACGGTTAATCTTTGACAAAAGAAATGTTTCATTTGTTGAATTAAATAATCTTTAGTAATTTTTCTTCTTTATTTTAGGTAGGAAAGAATATATTTTATAGGTAATTGCAGTTAACATAATTCTTTAGTTTTATTTTTAGTCTAACAAATTTTTTTTTTTGTTTTCTGGATTCACTCATATTTTGTAGATATATCTAAAATATATTTTAATATATGATTAAAAAAACTGATTATACCAATGAAATCTGACAATATTAGAATTGCTTTGATACTATCCGAAGAGTTTATCACTTACTATAGATTTGGATTTTATTGGGAAATGTAAAAACGAATTACCAAAAAGATATGTAGCAATTACAAAAATGTTGTGTATATATTAAAAGCGAATTAAAAATTCCTGATAATACAAAAACTTCAATTAAATCTTTCTAACAATACAAAAATTTCATCCATCATTTTATTCACTTCTCCCAACCTCTCCTTCGACTAATATTAAAATTGCTAAAAGTGAGAGAATCCTCGGAAAAGATAAGTATCACTTGAATAGTTTTCAAAAATTTAGATTCTCGTTTGTCCTTCTGCATTTTTCTTCGTAAGAATTTCACTAATGTGAACTAATTTTTGGAACGAATATTTTCTTCGGTTAGTTTTTGGGTTTAATTTTTCTATTCGATTATTGAATTTATTATTTTGTTTTTGAATTAATAAGATACTCATTGATAAATTGCTATTTTTGAGTTTATTTACACATTCATTCATCTTTTATTACTTTCCATTCCTATCTTCCTTACTATTTTCCTAATTTTTCTTCTGTAATTCTTTTTAGAATAAACTGTTTTCATCTGTAGATTTGTGTATAAATTTTTTTCTTTTCAGACCACAAATGTTAATTTATTTTTAGAAAAATTTGTTTCAACTTCAATTTCTTTTATATACTTACAGTGTAAAATTTCTAGCATTCAAATTTTAAACAAAAATAAGCATTTCTTGCACAAATATATTTCGATTTCAACTTGTTCAATGCATTAAACAATTATATAATTTTTCAATGGAAAAGTTTATTTTTTATTTAATTATATTATCAAATTCAATATTTTATAGTATGTAATGTTAATTATTTCTCTTATCTTTTCATTCCTTTTACTTATATTAACAAATTGAATTTATTTACTGAAAAAATTGCTTTTTTATAAAATAATTTTATACAGCTGCTTATTTCATTTATTTAAAGTAAAACTTTTTAATGCAATATATATTAATTATTGAAATAAAATCAGAAAAAAAAAACAATATATAATAGTTTTATTCTGCATACACCAATATTGTTCCATTACTTTTTCTTCAAATTTTTTCAAACAAAAACATTTCAACTAATGAATACTTATTACATTTATTTCAGTTATTATATGATAATCGATTATTTCGATTTAATTTTACCTTTCATCAGCTTTGGCATAAAATATTAAATAGAAAGTGTAAATTTATATTAAATGATAAGAGATGAACAGACGAAAAAAAAATTCAAATATAATTCATTTGACGTAGAAATTTAATTTGAGATAAAAATAAATAGTCTGATTTTCAAATTTTCATTTACTTATTCAATTCTCTTTTTTTTCAAAGTCAGTGTAATTGATAATCAAACTAAAAAGTATATTCATTGAATTCTGTCTTCCTTTTTATGGTGTCATCTCAACTGCATTTCACAATTTTACAATTCTCCAACAAACCGTTTTTGCCTTCGCTTCTTGATTCTTTTTAATTTAATACTGCACAATCAATCAGTTGCATACAACCGTCCCACCCGTATTTATTAGAAACATTTATACTGTTTCGAAAGTCTTAACTTTCTTAGGAATCATTTCATATTCCTACTGACGACAATTTTTTTATAATATTTATGTTGAAATTTTGAAGATTTTAAAAGTTTAAATCACATAAAACAATATTTTAGATGGAATTATTAATATATTTTATTGAATTC